GGAAGAAGGCCATTCCCCACTGGTGGTGGTTTTCCCAGGTTAGCTTCTTCATCTTCCCCTCTTGAAGACATGGGTAGGAATTTGCTCACTGCAAGTCAAAGGCATTTGAGCAAATAATGCCTCGGCTAATGAGAGACAGCGTGGAGTATGGACGGAGCTCTGTGCTTAGAATCTGGAGGCTTGGGTCCCAGCCACGGCCCCGACACTTACTAGCTGTGACCTCAACATTTCAGCTCTCTGAGCTTCAGTTTCCTCATCTATGAAATGGGGGTGATAATATAATGTACATGCTACCCCCAAAGCTTAAAACCTCACTAAGACTTTTGGAATGCCCTAATTTGTGGAGTGCTTTGTAAGCCTCAAATCATTCATTACATATGTAAGCGTCATTTTTACGTGCACCACCTATCTATCTCATGGGGTTATTTTGAGGAAAGTGTTATAGGAATGGGAGAAAAGGTGGGAAAGTGCCAGAGAAAAAAGACCTTCTCTAAGGATCCCCCCTAGAGAGTGAACGGGCAAACAGGTACTTTGCCCTCCAGTTGGCAGTGAGATCTGCAGAAAACAGAGGAGCTCAGTCTTAGTGAGGATGGTGGGGGAAGGAAACGCGGCCGTGACCCACAGGGATCTTGCCATGTTTGTGCTGTTTCTGGTGCCAAGGAACAACTCCCTCGGCCTCTCCAGCCTCGTTCACGTGACTCTTTGGCACTCGTCGATGGATGAGGCACAGAATGAAGGTTGCTCTCCTTGATGGAAGAGGAGGGCAAAGGAGTGGAGGGAAGGTTTCTTTCCTCTCATTTTCTCCCCTGTGGAGCCATTTTGATTAAAATAACAAGTGTTGTAAGAGGAATCTGACTACTAAGACAATTCCTTCAATATACATGAACCGTTGACTCCTCAATAATGGTCAAGAGATAGGAACAAAGCTTTCTTTTTAAAAAAATTAAAATAGTTTTTCAACTAAGTAGCTTCTCTGTTCTTTCTTTCCATCTTCCTACCCTCAGAGAAAGAAATAAAAGAGAAGTAAACCCCTTATTACAAATCCACATAGTTGAACAAAACAAGGTCCCGCATTGGCCGTGCCCCAAAATGCTTGTCTCGTCTGACGTTTAGAGTCGGTCCCCTCCCTCTCCAGAGATGGGTGACCTGCTTCGCCAGTGGTCCTCTGGAGTCACGGTTGGTCGCTGCACTGATCAGAATTCTTATGTCTTACAGAGTTGTGCATTTTGTGCAATAGTGCTATTGCACAAATTCTCGTCCTGGGTCCGCTTGCTTTACTCTGCAATAGTTCATACAAATCTGCCCAGGTTTCTTCTTTTCATCATTTCCCATGGCACAGTAGGAATTTGTTACATTTGTTTACAATAATTCCATTCCCTAAGTGATGGGTACCACTATCTCCCTTAGTTTCTAGTTCTTTACTACCACAAAAGATACTTTTGTATATTGCTTTCCTCTTTCTTTGATGTCTTTGAGAGTATATGCCTGGTTGTAGGTGTGCCCAATTTAGTGATAATTTGGGCATAGTTCCAAATTACTTTCCAGAATGGCCAGACCGATTCCCAGCTCCACCAACAATGCATGGGTGTACCAGCATTAGTTTTCTCCAAGGCCCTTCTAGCCTTTTTTTCTTTTTTTTGGTCAGCTTTCCCAGTCTGTGTTTTTTTTTTTTTTTGGTTTTGGCTAGGTAATGGGGTTAAGTGCCTTGCCTAGGGTCACACGGCTAGTAAGTGTCAAGTGTCTGAGGTCATATTTGAACTCAGGTCCCCCTCACTCCAGGGCCTGTGCTCTATCCATTGTGCCACCTTGCTGCCCCAGCTTTTCCAGTCTGGTGGGTGTGAAGCAGAACCTTGGAGTTGCTTTATTTTACATTTCTCTAATTATTAATGATATGACTATTGTTAGCTTATATTTTTTATTCAGAACACTGCCTGATGATATTCTTTGACTATCTACTATTTGGGTAGTGACTGTCATTCTTATAAATTTGAATCAGTTTCTTATATATCTTGGAAATTAGAGACACTTGCTGCAGGGATTTCTCTCGTTATCTGTTTCCCTTCTGCTTTCCTATTTTTTGGCTCCTAAGGGAGAATGAAGAGTTTCTTTGAAAAAGGGGAGAAGAAATTCAAGAAGCAGCCAGGTGGTGCAGTGGGTACAGCATCGGTCTTGGAATCAGGAAGACTTGAGTTCAAACCAGCGTCACACATATACTAGTTGTGCAACTCTGGGCAAGTCACTTAACCCTGTTTGCTTTAATCCGCTGGAGAAGGAAATGGCCACCCACTCCAGTATCTTTGCTAAGAATATCCCATGGACAGTATGGTCCGTGGGGTCATGAAGAGTTGGACACAACTGAATGACTGAACAATAACTTCAAAAGGAAAAAAAAATCCAATGCGGTTCACGGTGCGAAAATGAAATCCAGAGAAGGAATAGAAGCAACCACATTTACCCAGTGGCACTTTGCAAGAGATCAGAGCTTCCAATCAAGGAGAATGCTGGACACTCTCCAGCAGAAGTAGCACTCCGTCCCTGGTCTGTATACAACCAAGAGATCATTAAACTGAAAACAGGCTAATGTCCCTTTCTACAATGGTGAACGCAAGGCAGAAGAAGGACCCAGTTATAAAGGTGCCAATGTCTGGAGCTCCCAGCACAGTGGACGGGCAGAGACAGTTTGCTGCCCCCTCCCAACTTTGACTTTCAAAGTAGAAAAGGAGGGACCAGAGGATTCTCGATTTAGAACTAGAAGGAGGATAGAGGTCATCTAAGAGATGGTCATGCACCCTCCTTTCAGATGTCCCCCCAACTATCTGGTAAGTCATAGGAAGAAGACCATCAGTCCCCAAGCCCAGGAAAACAACATCCAAGCAGAGGAGGGACACTACCCATGTCTGTACACATGTGCTCAGAGTGGATGTAATATTTATTAATAGAGCTATTAATGCAAGGAGATATATTTGACCTCCTGGGGATCACTGGAACATGGTGGGATGTAATTCACCACTGGAATATGGCAATGGAAGGACACACCATGTTCAGAAGAGATGGATTAGCTAGGAGAGATTGCTGGATTGCAGGATCAGAGGTGAGTGATGAGGGACCTCCAAGGTCCTTTATTTTACAGGTGAAGAAACTGAGCCTTAGGGAGGTAAGGGGATTTGCCCATGGTTACACAGGTAAGAGGCATCAGAGGGGTGGTTGGAATCCAGGCAGTGGAGCAGCACTTTTATATCCAGCCTCAGCCACTTACTAGCTGTGTGACCCTGGGCAGTCACTTAACCTTTGTTTGCCTCAGTTTCCTCACCTAGAAAAAGAGAATAATAATAGCACTTACCTCCTAGTGTTGTCATGAGGATCAAATATTTGAAAAGCGCTTAGTACAGGGCCTGGCACATAGTAGGTACCATATAAACGTCAACAGTTATTAGCTATTATCATGGAGCTATATTCCGATGAATAAACAAAAATATGAAAAAAGAATGACTAAATCAATGAAGAAGTATTTATTAAGTGGGCCCAGCACCTTGAGAAGTACTGGCATTATAAATACAAAAGCAAATACAGTCCTTGACCTCAAAGAGCTTTACATTCTAGTAGGGGAAGACAAGACCTAGAGTGTAATGGTGGCCAGGAAGGATTCTCTGGTTTGGAAAGTCATAGGAATTGTGAGCGGAGCCTTAGTGGAATGGATTCGCCACCTTTCCTAGGAGCAATGGCAGTATTGATTTGATTCTGGTTCCAGAACTGGAGGCTGGAGAGAGTAGCAGAGGGTGTGTGGGTGGAAACAGGGAAGCTGGTGAGAAGATGGCAACCTGGGAATGGTGGGCCATGGGACACACTCACCAACTGGGGTCTAGAGCAGGTGTGTGCTGGGAAATGCTTCATAACTGGCTTGCCAGGAAAAAAAAAAACTGTACCCATGCAACACTTTTGAAGTTTAATCTGAATGATTAACATTTCATCCATCACTTTCTTAAGTCTAGAATGCTAATGGACAAAATGATCGGTCAAGCCTTGATTTGTAGCATTCATGCAGAAACTTTGTCTGTCGGCTCTGGGGAGCTGACTCCAGCATAGCCTGGAGTGGGAGACCCAGGAGACTTGGAGCTGCAAAAGCTAAGTCCTCCAGGACATGACCTCTGGCCTCAGCGGCAAGGAGCCTGGGGAGAAGATGGACAAGCAGGACAGCAAAGAGATTCGTGAACCAGAGAGGGAGAACGCTTCATTGAGGATCAATGGAGAGATAAACAGAAGCAGTATTGGGACAGGAGCAGGTAACTTAGACTAGATGGGTTCTGATCTTCCTCCCTCCTTGGAAATTTTGTGATTCTGTGAGTATATCATACATTACCCTGCCAGAAAAAAGAAATGGATAAAAACTTCCAAGAGGAGATCACAAATTCAGCATGGAGGCAGGGCCTAGTAAAGATGGCAGGCTGGCTGTGTGGACATCTATTGATGACAATTTCATCCTTCAAAAGTCAGAGGAAGAAGTGAGCTATGCTCACTGATTTCAAGTTGCTAACTTTGACGGACTCTCTCCCAGCCACAGAAAGGACTTTTGGGTATGATTTCTGAGTCATAGGAGCGACTTTTGAAAAACTGTGAAAAACGGGAAAAACGCCACTGAGCGACTCCAGGTTTTGAAAAGGGGAAGCAGATAAATTCTTGAAACCCTAAGTTGGAAAGCCTGACTGCAAAAGAAATCTTTGGCACTCCACAAAGACATTTTTCTCAGCTGACACGAATTCATGAATTTCCCCTTGTGGGTCAGCTACTTCATCCAGTTGTGAATCCATACCGTCCATATCTGTCATCCAGTCTGGCCCAGTCGATAGCGTGCCAGCCCTGGAGACAGGAAGACTCATCTTCCTGAGTTCAAATCTGGCCTCAAACACTTCCTAGCTGTGTGACCCTGGGAAAGTCACTTCACCCTGTTTGCCTCAGTTTCTCATCTGTAAAATGAGTTGGAGAAGGAAATGGTAAACCACTCTAGTATCTTTGCCAAGGAAACCCCAAATGAGGTCACCAAGAGTCAGACACACCTGAAACAACTGAACAATTGTCAGATACCTTGTTAACATCCAGGTACAGCCTTTCATTGGCATCCTCTTAACCTACCACGCTATTCACATTGTCAAGAGAAATAATAAGGCCAGATTTACATGATAGCCCTAATGAACCCATGCTAGCTCACAATGATCCCTACTTCCTTTTTCTAAGTGCTTGCAGACAACTGTGTGCAAAAATATGTTTTCAAATTCTTTCCAGGAATTGGAGTTTAACCATGGGGTTAAACATTTTTTTTTTATCAATGTCTTGGATCGAATGCTTTTCAAACTGATGAGTAACACAGATTTGGGAGGGTTCGGCAATCCATTGGATGTGACAGTAAGTATCCAAAAAGATACTGTTAGCATGGAATAACACATGGAATCTAATAAGAGGAAATTTAATCAGGACACATTTTTTTGTTTAATCTAAGCTCATTTGGGCTCAAATAATTGAATGACCAGCTGCAATTAGTCTGTAAGTTTTCATGTACTGCAAGTTCAACATTAAGTCAACAATACAACATGGCAGCCGGAAACTGGAATGCCATACTAAGCTTCATGAAGAGAGGGTATAATGCCCAAAATGAGTGAGGTGAGACTCCTGCATGCAGTATTCTGCAGTGGTCAGTCTATGAACGGAGCACTGGGGTCAGTTCTGGGAGCCAAACTGAAGGAAGGACATTGACAAGGTAGAGTGTACACCAGGAGAAGGGAAACCAGCTTGGTGAGGGCACTGGTGGGCATGCCCAAGAAAGAACCTTTTGAAGAACTGGGGATGTTCAGTCTTGACAAGAGAAGATTTGGGAGTGGTCTTGGTGGGAAGATAATAGTTGTCTGCAAGTATTTTAAGAGCCATCATGCTTAGATTTGTTTTCCTTGGCACGAGAAGTCAGAAGCTAGAGCAATGAGTAGGAGTAGAAAAAGGGCAGATTTTGGCTTGAAGTAAGGAAAAACTTCCTAATGGTGACAGCTATCCAAAAATGGAGTTGAGTGTCTCGGGGGTAGGGAATGAGCTTTCCATTGCCCAAGGTTTTCAAGCAGGGTTTGAATGACCATTTATTGAAGAATTAATTCCAGTTCAGCTATGTTAGATTAAATATTCTCCGAGGTTTCTTTGAATCTGGAAGCCTCGAGATTCTAATTCACGCCATGTACAACAGGCCCACTGCTCCCCGTTTCAGTCAAGGCCTGCTTCTCCTCAAAATGAAGCTCACTTCAGCAATTTTCTTTTAAATCCAGGATTGCTCCGTAGCGCGTACTTCACAGTCTCCTCACCCCACCAGCCTTTCCTGTTCCTCAAAAAGATCTCTTTAATCTGGGTGATAAAACATCTGGAGGGGAGTCATCTTGCAAATGTTAAGTGTAGGGAGGGTGACCTCAGAGCAGTCAACTTTAGTACAGTGGGAGGTAGACTGGACTTGGTGGCGGAACACTTGGGAGTTTGAATCCTGGTTCTAATAACTCACTTGGTGGCCTTGGGCCTCACTTGGCTCTTTTATGAAATAAGGGAGTTGGAGTTCCATTTCCAAGTCTAGGAGGCTATGATGTCTCTGGACCTCAGTTTCCAAATCTGTAAAATGGAAGAATTGCATTAGATGATCTCTGCTGAACTCCCCTGATGTGCTCTGGTGAGACCATGGGAAACTTTACCCCTGCTGGGCTTCATCTATAAAATGAGGGGGGTGGGCTAAATCACCTTTGGGGTTCCTTCCAGTTCCAAGTCTGTGGCACAAGGAAAGGGACCTGGCCCAGGAGTCAAAGGGCCCAGCTTCACAAATCCCACTTCTGATGCTTAGCAGCTGAGTGGCCCACTAGGTCTCAGTTTACTTCTCTAGAAAGTGGGGGCATTAGACTCAGTGATCTCTGATTTCTCTCCTAGCTCTACATCTAGGATTGTGCCTGGTCTTTGCATCTGCAAGGTGGTCTAGGCAGCCTGCCTCTCTTATTTATCTAGATATCAGGGCTCGTGTCCAATGCGCCTTTTAAAGTATTCTCCAGTCACATTTATAAAGTGCAGCTCACTCTTGTAACCCAACTGTTAAAAAACCCACAAGAAACCCAAAATAACTACCCCAGGACACTCCAATCTCAGGCATTACATTGAAATTGGGTTATTTCCAGTCTGGCTAAAAGAATAAAGGAAGCTAAACTCTTTGGCTACTGGTTTAGCGAAGGCAGTAAATATAACCTTCATGTATATGTATGTGTATATATGTATATACACACACACGTCTATAATGTATATATGTATATATAATATATACATTATATATAACATAACATATAATAATGTATATATAATGTATGCACACATACATATGGATATATACATACATACATACACACATGCATACACACACTTATGTATACACACATACATACATATAGGTCATATATATGATGCATATACATACACACCTGCATATATACAAGTGTATATATACACACATACACACATACATACACGTAGTTCATAGCTTTACAGCATGAAGAGACCTTAGAAACCACCTATTCCAACCCTTTGATTTTATTTATGAGCAAACTAAGGTCCAGGAGGTTAAGTGATTTGCCCAAGGTGATACAGATAGGAAATTGTAAGAGCTGGGACTTGAACCCAGGTCTTTGGACTCTCGGTCCCTTATTCACACTGTTGTCTGAAGAATTAAGGAGAACTTTCAACCATCCATTGGATTCATCAACACATCCCAAGGCTTTGTGACTTTGTAAGTTTCTATGGACTTACACACTTCTACTTTCCTATCTAAACTCATCACTATAACAGAGACTGGAAGACCTATCTTGGACCCAAAGACCACATCGATAGGGAACTCATTTTAATTTTGCCAACAGATTACCATCCACTTTTTCTTCCTTTCCCCAAACACCTGCCATCCCGTCGACAGCTCTCTTTGCTGAGTCTCTTGGCACAAGGTATGACCTTTGTCCTGGAGTGTATCTGACATCCCGGAAATGGGCAGATTAATTCATCAGCCCGTATCCCACAGACACACTGCATTAAAAATGAAAGCTTTCTTTTCTCCCTTCTAAAGAGGGAACAGATAGCTATTTTAATTGTTCTGCTGTCCGTAACTTCTGGTTAAAATCCCATATCTGGAAAGCAGTCCAACTCTAGCGTTTGGGTTCCAGAGGGAACTTTCTTTCCACTTAATTATACTTCTACTTCTCATGATTGCTCCCCCTTATCCTCCACATCCTGACCCAAACAATTGTAAAAGAGTACCTCTGTTCTCCTTTCTTCCCCTCGATAACCATACTCATTTCTCCATTTGCCCACCTGCCCCTAGGCATCTTGTCTAATCTATAGGTGTCTTTTAATGCAATCTTTGTATTACACGGATAAGACAATCTTGTGGACTTTCACTACTTTCATCCCCCCCCTTTTTGACTGCTTGTTACTTGGGCATCAGCTGTCGAACACCCCACATTTCTGCTCCCAGTTCCCTCTGGGCCGGTGCTGCCGCCCAGGACACAGCCCAGCTGGTGCTTCAGAGGGGCCTGCTGGAATGAAGGGGGTCTGTGGCTCTCAGATGGTGGGGGTGCAGGAGGAGCAGGGAATGTGGGGCCAGATCAGAGAGGGACCACGGTATAGGTGAAAGAACTTTGCCTCTGCTGTCCAAGGATCTGGCTTCAAATCCTACCTTTAACACTCCCCACCTGGATATACAAATGTTTCCTCATTTGTAAAATGAGGTGGTGGGCTACACGGCCTCTGAGATTCTAATCCATGAGCCTGAGTCAGTTAATCTTCTTGGGCCTCAGTTTCCTCATCTGTAAAATGGAGAGTAATAGAATAGATGGTTTCTGGGATCCTTTCTAGCTTTGGATCCATGATCCCAAGGGGGCCTCAGTTTCCTCATCTGTAAGATGGTCTAGATGGTCTCTGGGATCCCTTTATACCCTTGACCTATGATCCCGTAATCCCTGAAACTTCAGTAACCGTGTCACTAGAGCCTGGACTTTTTCTCCTTCCTCTCCACAGCAGATGGCTTCAACTGAAGCTTTTCCGAGCCTCTGGCAGCCCCCTTTTTCATTTGTGGGCAGTGACTGGCATGCTCGCCTCTCCTTCCCTGCTCAGTTGAATATTAAAAGAAGACAGAAAGATCACTGGGTCTTTTCATCTGCTAGACCTCGACCTTATTCCCCTGCTTTCCCGTCATGCCTCGTCCTGCCTCCTGGGGCTCCTTTTTATTCCTTGGCCCCCCCCAAGGCGATCATTAAGGTGTAGATCCTGAGGATTGCTGCCCTCCTTGAATTCTCTACTTTTCTCCCTCGCGGAGCCGTCCTCTATGTGACCTAGAAGGCCCTTTGATGATTCATATTTAGCTGTATCTCTCACCCAGCAGATGTCGGGGAAGTTGAAGGCTGCTACATCCTGTGGTTTCAGGTTCCTGGGTAGTTGGTTAGAAATCTTTCATTCGCCCTCCCCGCTTTCAGGGAGGGAGAGAAATGATCTGCAAGAGATCCCCCTCTAGCCTTGGAAGCCACCTTCCTTCTCAACTTGCATTTCCCTGATTGTATAAATTACTTGGCTATATTTATAGCAGCCCTCCATGGCTTCTTTCCAATTCTACCTCTCTGGTATTCCTGCAAATCCCCCAGTTTGAGTGGTCCCACTGTCCCTGTTAGATCAGTGTCTTTCAGACCCCCAAGTGTCTGCCTGGCCTGAGTTAACGTGTTGGTATCTCACCATCATCTAGCCCACCAGGACACGGAGGTTGGCATGTCTTGGACCCCAGGGAAGGGAGTTCACGTAATGGAAGTGCCAGAAGCATAGCCCCATAGCCTGACCTCACTTGTGACATGGCGTTTTCCATAGATGCTGAAGATATGACTTTGGGCGAATCATTTCCTGGGTTGTGCTTCAGTTTCATCTACAAACGAGGGGGTTGGATTAAATATAATTCAATTCTCTACATATCAAGGTGCTCCTGGTAGATGCTCGTCACAGGGCGACATGGCTGAAGAGCCCAGATGCTCTTCCAGGGCCCTAGAAGAGGATGGCTGGTCGTCACCATCAGTACCCAATGCTCTGCTTTGCTCTGTGGCCTCGCCTAGCTCTCCGTGCTGCTGATTTTACCCCTAGACTGATCCCAGCTCTGGGTTCTCTCCTCCTCTCTCCATTGCTTAGCTTTCCTGGCATACGGAAGGCAGCTTGCCATTCGGTTCTCTGGGACACAGATGGTCCAACCCACGCTCATCACTAATTAAGATCACATGTGGCCCCTTCTTTGCTGGAGGTTCCTTTCAGGGGCTCTGCTTCCAGCTATGGGCTGGAGAGGACTGTTGAGCATTGACATTTATGGCACCAAGACATGAGGGAAGTTGGGGAGACTCTGGGCCAGGTGCCAGGGACTGACTCTGCCAGAAATCAGGGGCTTTTGGTGATGTGGTGCAAAGACTGCTGAATTTAGGTCAGGGGACTTGAGTCCACATACTAGCTCTTCTACCTACTGCCTATGTGAAATTGTGAGAATCATTTGACCTCTTTAGGGTTGTTTCCTGCTCTGTGGATTGGGGCCGGGGGTCTCTGAAATCCCTTTTGGGCAGCTAAGTGGTGTAGTAGATAGAGCTATGGGCTGGGAATCAGGAAGGCTCATTTTCATGAGTTCAAATCTAGCCTTGGACACTTAGTAGCTGTGTGTCCTCGGGCAAGTCACTTCACTCTCTTTGCCTCAGTTTCCTCATCTATAAAATGAGCTGGAAAAGGAAATGCAAACCCCTCCTGTATCTTTGCCAAGAAAACCCTGAAATGGGGCCACAAAAAGTTGCACATGACTGAACAACAAGAAGAGACTCTAAATCTGTGGTTCTTGAACAAGATATCTCATCTCTCTGGGCCTTGGTTTCCTCTGGAAAATGAAAGAGTTGATTAGTTGACTCCTTAGTTCCCTTCCAAATCTAGGTCTACTACCAAGCCTATGGTCCTTTGGCTGAAGGGTCCCTGGGGTCCCTTCCAGGGCTTTTATCTATATTTTAGTGAACTTTGGAAAGAATGGCTCAAACTGGATGGACCATTTCTTTCTCGTCCTTGTATCCTCAGTATCTGACAGTGCTTGGCATACAGTAAGTACTTAATCAATGTTTGTTGACCGATTGGTTAAATGCATTGGCCATATGAATCTTTTGGAACTGAATATAGCAGAGTCCAAAGTGACATTGCTTCTACTTTCTATGAAGAATGGTGGTTTTAAATGTGACCCAGAACTGTGGGGTTCTTTGGTAAAGAAAACAATAACATGTTTTGATGGAACAACAATGTTGAGGCTGAGGAGATTAGTGCTTTGATGCTGGAAAAAATTGATCTAGGATTTTAGGAGGGATGGAGGTAAAATCAGAACTTTCCCTGAAATTCCCACAGTGGTGGGAAATTGAAAAGTGGAAGTTGTCATGTATGGCGCTGTTGGGACAGGTCATGGCTTATGCATTCTCCCAGGGCATGTGTCTCATTTCCTCTTCGAGAAGGTCAGGATTGTACGGATGGTGGCAGGTGGCCTAGGCTGTCCATTGGCCTTCCCTGATATGTTCTCACAGGGAATTAGTTCCTGGGAG